GTTTTTCAAATAAAAACAATAACAGACACACCACACAATCATGAGAGTTAAATAAGGTAAATCCAGGCAATAAAATGAGCACAGCATTTGGCATAGTCCTTCGGTGTGGGGTGATTGACGGCTGTATACCGAGATTGGGTTGGTGCTGAGGATGCTGTGAGGAAGGCTGTCTTCCTCTGCGTCCACATCCAGGATGACTCAGCGGCACAGGGCTTCACCCTAATGGGTTTTCTTGTCTCTGCCTGTTCAGCAGTCTGGTTGTTATCCTAACTGAAACCAAACATCAAACTTTAAATACAAAGTCCTGGTCCAGCCCTGTTTACCTTCTTCTTCGTCATCACGGAGCCAGAGTTTTGACCTCATTACTTCTAGTGCAAAATGCTTTTTAATTTCTTTATTCCTTCCTCGCCTTTCCTTCTCAACAAGGAGGAAGGAATAAAGAAATTAAAAAGCATTGATTTAGTGGCATTCTCTTTTGACCTTGCCACTCTAATCTTTGCTGATCTCAGCTGAGTCTCAGTGTTCTCCACCCTCACCCCACCCCTCAGCTCCACCTGGGATACTTAGTTTAAGGCACCTGTGAGCTTCGGTCTCAGCAAGAAGCCAACACAGAACAAAAACCCTTAAAAGCAATGGGTGTGGAAGCACACACCTTTAATCTCAGCACTCAGGGGACAATGGCAGGTGGATCTCTGTGAGTTTGAAGCTGGTCTGGTCTATGTAGTCAGATCCTGGATATTATACCAGGCTACATAGTGACAGCCTGTCTCAAGAAACAAAAAGTCCAAGAAAACAGAAAGACTATCAATTTTTCTTTGCCCCATTTCTCCTTTTGTTTAGGAAAGTATTTCTTGCATTTATTGTCTTCACTTTTTCTCTTCATTGCTGTTCTATTTCTTTCTCTTTGTCACCCTCCATTTTCCTTTGTTAGAGTGTCCACTGTCCATTTGAACATGACTGATTGTAGAACCTGATTATAAATAGATTCATATGCTCAGAATTTAGTGAAAAAAATTTATAAGGTCAACTCAGTGTTTGAAGATGAGTTGAATGTTGTCAGTTGGGTGCTTCATACTGCACCTTAAGAGAGAGCTAATCAAGTTGGGTGGTGGTGGCACACACCTTTAGTCTCAGCACTCAGGAGGTAGAGGCAGGGGCAGGCAGATCTCTGTGAGTTCAAGGCCAGCTTGGTCTACAGAGCAAGTTTGCAGACAGGCACCAAAGCTACAGAGAAGCCCTGTCTCGAAAAAAAAAATGTAGGATCCAGCCATGACAAACTCAATAGAGGCCAGAGTCTCAGTAGTTTACCCTAAGGCAATACCTGGTTCCAAGAAAGGCCACAAACTGAGACTACCCAGGCACCATCCAAAACAGACCATCCAAAGGAAATTCCTAATGTTCCAACCATTGTAGATAGGGTCACCTGCCAGCACGTACCCATCGTTTTTCACCAGAACACCCCTAGACAAATGTCAGCCAACCATGGCCACTTTCCAGGAAGTCCGTCCACGATATCTCATTTCCCACCCCTGCCACCCATACTGTCTCATTTTCCATCCATGTTATCTAGTGGAATTGACAGTTTTACTTTTGGGAGTATTTTACCCTCAGAAATGAATATGGGCTTATAGGTCACTGACAAGGGAAACAGGTTTTCAATGACGTTGACATTCTCCAGGAAATTATTCATTTTCTGTGAGCACAATGTAAGACTTTAACTCTTCCAGTATAATTTCTCCAATATGAAGGTTTCGCTGTTGTTTCCATTTCAGAAGCTATGATGATTTCACATTTTAAAGTGTCTCACAGGACTCATAAACCGGCTCATAAACGTAAACCTGCAAAGGCATTACTCTGCATCCTTCAAGCCCGAAAAATGCCTTAATATTTCCTAATGTCATTATTCTCCTTTATTCCATCTTCTCTCCTCCCCTTTATTGTTCTCTGAGGCTGTCTTTCTGTTGGCTGTGTAGTTTTGCTTTAGTTTTCTATGTCTTTGCAGACCAGAAAGTATAACCATCAGTTTTCTGTGCCTTCTTCCTTCAGTTCTTGTTCCTGCGTCTCAGTAGCACATACGCTTTCCCTTTCTTTGTGCTTTCCATCAACCCCTGTCCTTCCTTCGGGCCAGCTCAACAGCTTCCAGTGACTTTTAGGAGAGGAAGAATGTTGTTCATTTCCAGTATCTTATTTCTGTAATAATTTAAAACTGCGATGCTCAGACATTTTGGAAAGAACTATGGCTTAATTTCTCATAATGAAAATGCCTCTTTTCAATCTGCTACAATCGTTCCCAGAGGTGAACAATTCTTTTAAAGTCTAGTTGTTTGGATAATGTATTTAAAACGAGTATTGCGTGAGAAGAATCGGGGTTTGTCTGGAACCGCATGACTCCACATATGTTGGGGGCCTGGGTGCGCTCTGGAAAGGACTTGCAATGTTTTCTACTTGTCAAAGCTCTAGTACACTTAGAAGAAAAGCATGATAGAGAAAGATCTGGAGACACCCAAGAGGTTCAGCTCCAAGTGGCCTGCAGTGAATTTTTTTCCAGAATCTATTATTTAGCATTTAGAGTAAGAAGTACTCTGCTTCTTACTTAAAATGTTTCCATGTTTATTTAAGCCCCAAACTCTCCCAAGTCCCCAATCACTTTGGTGAGGTGATCATCCTCTACATGTGCCTTCTAGCCCTTCCAGAGCCTTGCCAACCACCCCTGGAAGGGAGAGTGCCCAGTGTGACGGATCCAGTGCTGGAACTGAAAGTTGGGCATCTATTATTGCTTGTTTACTGTCTTACATTTTATTGCTGCTTCCATTACTGAGCAGAAATGACTGTGGAAGTCAGAGTATGGTAGATGGTAGCAAGGGGTCCCTCGTGGGTAGAACGGCTGTCTGAGTAGAGTGAGCTGCCATGCACGAAGGTGTTCAAACAGAGGCAGAGGGAAAAGACACCAAGAACTCAAGCTTCAGGTGTGGGGTAAGTTTGGGTAAATGATCTGTCAAGGATCTGGCTCACATCTTGGTAGAATAAAAGGGGAGAACCATCATATTAGGTATTCACTTATTAAATATATCATTTACATTAAGATGTGAAGATATTAAAATCTAGAAGCTATGCCAGAATAAGGAAATTAAATCAGCAGAATTATTCTGATCATGGTGCAAATTAGAGATAATTTTCAGTGAAATGTACAACTGAAATCTTTGAAAGAAACCAAAGCATCACTGAAGTAACTTGGGTTTAAGGAACAATAAACTATATACGGGAGCTGCAATTATATTTTGGCAGCAGAGCCACTGCTGGCAATGTGTGAGGCCCTGGAATAATCCTCAGTAGAAGTAAAATTTTGCACACACACACACACACACACACACACACACACACACACACACCCTTAGACTAAAAACATACTTGTCTGGGTGAAGGCTTTACCCCAGCCCCTGGCATCCATATATCTAAAAAGTCTGGAATGTTTGTTAGAATGGAAATTCTATCCCAAGTTCCTTTCCTGGGGAGCTGCCTCAGAACAGACACCACCCCTGAAAAAGCCCGCCAAACGATGACCCCTCCCCACAGATGCTCAGGACCACTCCCACAGGGTATTTAAACTGCTCTCAGAGAATAAGTGTGTGGTATTCTGATTTTCCTTTCCGGTCTCCTCTCTGAGGGGCTGGAAAGCCATCCGGGAGCGTTTGTATTCATTAAACCTGGGCTTTTTCTAATTCAGTCTTATTTGGTTGCATCAGCGGAGAGGCTTATTGGGGTGCAGCAACCTTTTCAACACTGTCCTCTAGCTTGGCAGCAGTGTGGTATTTGGTTGGGGGAGGACAATGAGGAGGTGATTCAGGAAAGGACAGGGTCTGTAACTCTTATCGAGGAAGATGGACTGAGAATTATTGTTTAGCATTGATCTGCTGTTCTGGTTTCTGTTAAGCCATATTCCATATAATTGCCACTTTGGGCTCATGGATCCATCTTCAGACATGCTTCTATTTATTTATTTATTATGATTTAAACTCCCCTGCTATTTTGACTACTATCTAGTCTAGCATTCTGTGGGACTTTGTTCCTTTTCTGTTTAATGCTTAAAAAGATAAGTTTTGGTTTGGGGGAGATGTAAGAACTTTTTTTTTTTTTTAAATGCTGATATGCCTGCTACTAGAGGGTAGTACAAGGCCCTGCCGAATGGACATTACCTGAAACCGGTGAGGAATGAAGACTCTCAGGATCTACAGTAGCCGACTGACTCACGGCCTGCAGTTTACCATGATCCCCATGGGACTCACGGGCACATTAGCATCCATGAGCACCGATCTACTAATTTCTTTCCCACAGGGCATAATGTTCTCCCAGGGTGTCAGTGATTTCTGGAATGAGTTTAATTGGGTCATACTTTTTCTTTTCTCTCTCTCTCTCTCTCTCTCTCTCTCTCTCTCTCTCTCTCTCTCT